GCATCAATATAAAAGCAATTCATAAAAACAGCCACGCATGGGACACATTGTCCAGCCTGTCTTAGGATCTCTTGTAATTGTGGTGGGGCTCTCTGGCTGCATGCTCCTTTACCCTCTCAGTTACTAACACAACTGCATAGAAAGCCCAGCTGCTTACAGCAGCCCAGAAGAAATCACAAGGGCCTTGCCCAGGTCCCAGAAGCCAATCTATCATCCATTCCAGCTGCACACTTACTCCTTCAGTCACTGTGCCTTGATTGTCTTGCCCATCTTCATCATCATCTTCATCATCTGCTTCTCCTTTCTGAACAAACTCATTTCTTGTTCGAAGGTACAGATCCCAGAGTTTGCAAGCAGCTTTATATTCAGGAGAATCTGGCTGTACATTAACAAAGAGAAAAAATACCATGTTAGTACTTTATTATAAATCGATTACTACTTTTAAAGAATTTTGTTCCAGCAGAGACTGGTATACTACGACATGATTCTGAAAACGCTATTACAAATTTTTAAAATTCTTCTAATTAAAAGATACAAGGGCCTCGATTTCTCTTCTGTGTATGCTTTAAAGGCATTCTGAAATCAGATTAATTAATTTATGCCCTATTATATTACAGAAAGACTTGAGGCAGAAGATAAATGATTTGCTAAATTAAGACTAATTATTAATAAGAAAGACAACTTAAAGAATAAGATCCATTGCAGCCACTATGGAAAACAGTATGGAGATTCCTCAAAAAACTAAAAATAGATCACATGATCCAATTCCACTTTTGTGTATTTATTTGAAGGGAAAAAAAACTAATTTGAAAAGATATATGCACCCCTATGTTCACTGCAGCATTATTTACAATAGCTAAGCTATGGAAGCAACCTAAGGGTCCATCAATAGATAAATGGATAAAGAAGATGTGGTATATACACACAATGGAATATTATGCAGCCATAAAAAAAATGAAATCACGCTATTTGTAATCATATGGATGGGCCTAGATGGTATTATGCTAAGTGAAACAAATCAGAGAAAGACAAATATCATATAGTTTCATTTACATGTGGAATCTAAAAACACAAATGAACAAACAAAACAAAACAAAACCAGACTCAAAAAAAAAAACAGACCAAATGATTACCAGAATTAGTGGGGTGATCACACTGTAAGGTATAGAGACAAAGTCTCTACATTGTACACGTGAAACAAGTCAAAAAGATAGAAGCTAAGAACTGCTTTGATATCACTTCTTTTTAAAAGTATTTAATACCTTATTTGAATATTTCTTTTTCCGTAGTGCAAATGAACTCTAACTAAAACGTTCCAGTAAAACCAATGTTTTAAACCAACTTCAAAAATGCATCCATGTGCCACCAATAAGGAGTAAGCAATGTTCATAAAAGCAAGAACACAGCAAGCAGGAACCCATATGATAAGTAGAACACTGAAGCTATTGTTCACCTTGACGGCATTTATAACACAAGATAAACCTCAGCTTTAGTTTTCAAAACTCCTGGAAGATGCAAGGACAGGAGATAAAGGCCAGGTTCCACCAGAGGCTGGGGCTCCAAAGGCCATGGCTACAGTGTGAGTGGAAATTCAAAACAATTTAGTTTCTGCGCTGCCCAGGAACAAGGAAGACCACACACTGCAACCTCCACCCAGCTCAACCCATGCCTATCTCCAACATTGGCACTGTGGGGAAAGGAGAGGTACAAGATGAATCCCCTTTGAGAACTATTCATTAGCTAGCCCTAACAAAGATAGGCCAGGTGCCTGGAATAAGCAACAAATATCTTCTTTAGATTAACCCAACTTTAATCTAAGCCTCAAAAAATCTCTACAGACATAGTTCCAAAAAATATGAGATCATGGTCAAAATTCATTACCACACAAGAATGAAAGAATCACAAGAGGAAGTCAGCAGAAATGAGAGCAAAATCAGACATGCAAATACTTCAGATACTGGAATTATCTGCCATAGAATAAAAAATAAGTATGTTAAGCGTTTTAAAAAACAATGGGATTAGATATAAGCAAAGTGCAGGAAACCATAAAAAAGAAATTACCTCCAAAATACAAAAAATAGAATATTAAAACATAAAAAACCAATATTGGTTTAAGAGCAGATTTCAAAGAAAATTGGAAGAATGAAAGAAATGACCTAATAAGCAACACAGATACAAAAAAGGGGACTATGAAAGATTAAGGGAAATGGAGACCTAAGAGAGTTCTAATATAATTTCTAATCTGAGTTCTACAAGGAGAGAGAATGGGGCAAAGGCAATATACAAAGACACAATGGCTGGAAAACTTTCCAGAGGTGATAAAAAGCACCAATCAAAAGATTTAGATTTAGGAAGCCATAAAACTCCTAAATTATAGATAGATATTCATATCTAGACATATCAAAGTGAAACTGCAGAATACAAGACAAAAAGATACTAAACCAGAATGAAAAAACAGATTACCTTTAAAGGAATTACAATTATCCTGACATGAGTTTTCCATAGCAATAAAAAAATGAAGAATAAAGAACGTAGTATGTTTGTGAGTAAAAACACTGACTATACCTTAAAAATATGAATTATATCTGAATAAAAAAATACATAGTCTTAAAAATCTAAAAACATTTTTGCAGAATCATTATGAAGAAACATTTAAAGCATTGCTAAATACATTAAAAGACTTAAAGAGACACCAAATTCAAAGATTAGAATACTCAATATTATCATATGTCAATGCTCCAAAATATGATCTACAGGGTCAATGGAATCCCGAAAAAAATTTCAAAACAATTTTTTGTGCTTAACACACTAATATTAAAATGTATAAGGAAAAGCCAAGAATATATAAAGAAAAGGCCAACAATAGTCGGCATGCTTTCTTTAACAGATAGAGAATCATAAAGCCAAAGAAATTAAGGCAGAAATAGAATAGCCCAGGAAAAAAGAAAACTGGCAGAACAAAAGGAACAGATTACAAGGCTAGAAAGAGACCTATAAAAACATGGAAACAATGATAGTACTGACAAAGCAGACAAATGTAGAGAAAGTAGCTGTTTCGAGGTGCTGCTTATACCTGTGGGGAGAAAAAAATCTTTACCTCACAAAAATCAATCCCAACTGCATTAAAGGCTTAGATGTAAATGATAAAACTATTAAATCTTTAGAAGAAAATATGAGGAGAATATCTTTATAATCTTTGGGCAAGTGGAAAACGACACAAAGGATAAACCACAAAGGAAAAGATGGATAAATTTGAATATATTAAAATAAAAAACTCCAGTTCATCAAAAGACCCATAAAAAGAATGAAAAAACACATACATTGGAAGAGGGTATTTGCGACACATATAACCAAAAAAAAATTAGTATTCAGAACATAGAAAAATTTCTAGAAATATGAAAATAACAAATCCAAGAAACACATGGGCAAAAGATTTGAGCAGAGATAGAAGAAACAAGAATGTTTCATAATGATATGAATGTTCAGTCTCTTTACTAAGAAGAGAAATACAAACTCAAACTGCCAACTGAGAAACCACTATTCCCTTACCAGATAGATAAATATTAAAAATCCAGACAATTGTCAAATTGTATACCTTCCAAATTTGATGCTTTCTTACCTTATAATAGGCCTTTGCATTGTTAAAAAGCAGCTGGAAGTCAGCAGTCAGCAGATTCACATCATCATACTCCTCCATTTTTAGTTTCTGTTGAATTTTCATCAAGTCAATGGGCTGAGAAACCACTTCATAATAGTCTGGTTGATTTCTGTTATAATTTAACATTTTTAAAAAAATATATTAATCCAAAGCCTATAAAAAGTTATATTTCAAATATAAAGTTACATTTCAAAGTATCTGCAGAATGTCTAATATTCCAAGTGATAGAATATACTGCCATTACTAGAACTAAAAAGGAATAACAAAATCAAGATACACATGCATGCCCTGTTCAAAATATATATTAATGATATAAAAACCTAAATTAACATCTAAGATAGTTCTTTATATGCTAAATATTTACGATTTAGGGCACCAGTAATTATTTTTCTCAATTCTCCCTCAAGGGTAGGTAATTAACTCCATTCTAGACATGTAAGAGATTACTACTTGTAAATAATCTCATGGTCATTAAAGCTTTAATATCTCTTAGGATCCTGATTGACATGTTACAGCCATATATGTATATTTAATTTTTAAAACCTTTTATTCTGACATAAAAGTGGCAAAATAATACAAAGAATGCCTTTTATCTGACCATTTTGTGAGTAAGCTGCTGAAATGATGTCCTATCACCTCTGAATAGTTTAATGTGCATTTCCTACAAATAAGGACCACAGTTCAACTGTTAATATCAGGAAATTAACTTTGATATAGTATCACCATCTAACCCTCAGACTCCATTCATATTTTGCCAACTGTTCCAAATTGTCCTTTACAGCAAAAGGATCAAGTCTAGAATCATGTGATGCATTTAGTCATATTTCTTTAGTTTCTTTCATTCTGAAACAGTTCCTCGGTCTTTCCTTGACTATCATGATCTCAATAATTTTGAAGATTACAGTTCATTTCTTGTAGCGTCCTTCAATTTGGGTTTGTCTGTTTTCCTGGTAAATTAAGGTTATGCTTTGGCAGGGCTATGACAGAAATGATGTTGCATTTGTCTGTCTCCTATCAGGTGGCACTTAATTTTAACTTGTCCCATTACTTAGATGAGGTTGATTTTGATCACCTGATTATCGTGGCATCTGTCAAGTTTTCTGATTGACCAAGTTACTGTTTTCTACCTGTATTTTATAGAGAGATACCTCCAGACTACATAAAAGCCCATAATTCATCAATTTATTCATTTATTTATATCAATATGGGTTCCCAGATTCCTATTTTACTCAGTGAGTTAAAAACCATTATTATAATTATTTTGATGCTCTAAGTGCTCCAGGTTTGGCCAACAGGAGTCCTTTCAAGATGGCTTCTATTTCTATGTCCTTTTGACATGTTCCTATCACCCGCTGAGCACTTGCTTATTTTCTGGCACCATAAGATGTTACAAGCTCATTTTTATTTTCCTTGCCCTTGAACTCAGCCATTTCCCCCAAAGAATTCTGGTTCTTTTTAATAGTATATGGTATTTAAAAACCAAGACCAAGGTGCTAGAAGTGCTCATTTCTACCGAAGGAAGAGGAAGAATTGAGTTTTTTACAACTTATTGACTACTTAAAATTTGAATGAACTATAAAATTAAGTATGAGAGGAACTAAAGGGGTACTCAACCTGCTATTCAGAGAAAATGTCAAGAACATAACAGTTTCGGTGAGTAAACAATAAAAGATCATCCAAGGCCTAAGATCAACATATCAGTGGTGCCAAGGGAGTGAGTATTAGAGCTCTGTTAACTTGATATCCAAGGTGGCTCTCTCCATCTGGGCCTGATGGGCGACAGCCCACTGCTCCCTGCTAAGGCTGGACATTAGCAGCCTCTGAGGCATGGAGGATTATCTGCAGACAACTGAGAACTCAAAGAGGACATGTATAGTAGTCTCTCCTTGCCTGCAGTTTTGCTTTCTGTGGTTTTAGTTACCCATGGTAAACCATGGTCTGACAAATTAAATGGAAAATTCAGAAATAATTTATGTTTTAAATTGCATGCTATCCATGTCATCCTACGTTTTGCCCAGGACCTGAATCATCCGCTTGTACAGCATATCCATACTGCATCCACTACCTGCCTGCTAGTCAGTAGCAACAGTTACTAGATTTTTGCAGTATCGCAGTACTTGTGTTCAAGTAATCTTTATTTTACTTAATAATGGCCCCAAAGTGTCAGAGTAGTGATGCTGGCAGTTTAAATATGCCAAAGAGAAGCTGTAAAGTGATTTGTTTAAGTGAAAAAAAAATGAAAGTTCTTAACTTAATAAAGAAAAAACGTTGTATGCTGAAGATATATAGTAGAACGAATCTTCTCTGTGAAATTGTGAAGGAAAAAGAAATTAGTCCCAGCTTTGCTGTCACACTTCGAACTGCAAAAGTTACAGCCACAGTGCATGATAAGTGCTTAGTTAAGATGGAAAAGGTATTAAATTTGTGGGTAAAAGACCTGAACAGAAAACATGTTCCAACTGATGGCAACATGTTGCACCAGAAAGCATTGAGCTTTTTCGAAGACTTTAACAAGGGATCCTCTGAAACAAGTGATATCAAGCCATTAACTGCAAGTAAGGGTTCATTACCCAGATTTAGGAATAGGTTTGGACTGGAGAGGCTGCATCTGTTGATAAAGTTGCTGCCACATTTCCAGCAGAGTTGAAGAAGTTTATTAAGAACAAAGGTATGTATGTATAGGAAAGAACATACTGTATATATAGGGTTCAGTACTCTTTGTGATTTCAGGTATCCACCAGGGGTCTTGGAATGTATCTTCCATGGATAAGGAGCAAACTACTGTACCTAGAAAGGACATAACCTCTTGGTAGCTCTGCTAGAAGGCTCCTCACAAACATCTTCAGAATTACCTCAGAGACTAAAGGAAGATCAGGATCCAACATTTCACTCTACATAATATGATCAGAAAAAGGATCCTTCGACTTTCAAAATGAAATAGCTCTACTAATTTTTCCTATTTACAGAAAGGCATAAAAAAAGTAAAAATTGTTCTTATTTACCCAGAGTGAAAAGCTCTGGTGGTATTCTTATAGACTTCTACACACATGTAAACACAAATAGGGCTGTATAATACATGTTCTTTCTTAACAGCTTTTCTCTCTGAACAATAGATGAGGGTACCCTGCCATGATATGGCTGTATAATAGCCAAAGCATAGCTAAAACTTTACCAAGAGCAGTGAGAAACACCAGGCCTGATATGTGCAGGGCCTGTGGCTACCCCTAAACCCATTTCCCCTCTTCCCAGGCTGACAGCATTCTAAGCTGCTGCATAGGTACAAAAGATCATATTCTCCAGCGTCCTTGCAAGCAAGTTCTGGCCAATGCAAGAGCTGAAGTGTGCCATGTCCAGGACACATACTTCACATGTCTTTTTCCTACAGGCTGGAAGGTAGTTGTGGTGGTAAGCCATTTCAGACCATGCAGACAAAGGTAATAGCCCAAGGACAGCAGAATAAAGAGACAATATCTGAGTTCTGAGGACTATACAAAACAAGACTCTTACATGAAAGAAAGCAATTTTTCTTATTTCAGCCATTAATTTGGATGTCTTAGTACAAGTAGCCTAATGTACTAATGGCAACAAAGTCTCAAAAGATTCACAACTATGTATCTCTGAGCTACTTCTCATAAACTCTTCACAAAACACATGCATTCCACTGAGAGGCAGAGATGCTCTCCTGGCACAGCACAAGGGGAATGTAACAGTGCTGATAAAGCATCACTATCATGGAGGTTGGAAGAGAGTGCTCCAATATCCAGGGCCTGTATCCTCTGCCCCTTAACACTAGTCTGCTAGTAGAAAGCAGGCAGCAGAGGGGAAGTCCTTTTCTATGAGGGGTTTGTGTACTCCAGTATGATGTTCCTCCTCTATACAACATTCTGGTTAAGAGCACATGCTGAATTTTGGTTATCTTTTAGTTAGTTCTGAAAACTTGAGCAAGTTCTCATCTATAAACTGTGATAATACAAGTTTAAACAAGATAAGGTCTGGAAAGTGCTTGGCAATGTATCTAGCATATGGTAAACAATAAATACAGACTTTTAATAGCACATACTAATTAAATGACAACTTTTAAAAGACTGTTGATAATAAGCCAACTGAAATCTAGAGACGATTATTCATTTTAAAAAGAGTACTTCTTTTTTTGGCCATGACTAAGTTACAGGACTCTTTCTCTTACTAGAGAATGGTGACACTGTATCCTTGCTTGCTCTGCTCTGTGAGGTGAGAAGTCTACCTTCAGCTAAACCTGCAGCTTGTTGGCTACTCACTGTGGCATCAACAATCACAAATGGGTTTAAATCTTTAATTAACTTATTGTATTAGTTTCCTACAGCTGCTGTAAAAAATTGCCATAAACTTAAAACACCAGAAATTCATTATCTTACAGAAGTCCAAAATTGGTCTCACTGGGCTAAAAAAGCAAGGTGTTGGCATTTCTTCTAGAGGGTCTACAAAAGAATCCATTTCCTTGACTTCTAGAGGCCACCTGCATTTCTTGGCTTGTAGTCCCTTCTTCATCTTCAAAGCTAAGAGTATAGCATCTTCAAATCTCTAACTTTTTACTCCTCTGCTTCCCTTTTCCCTGTTTAAGGACCCTGTAATTACATTGGGCCCACCTGGATAACTCAGAATAATCTAACTCAAAGTAAATTGATTACCAAACTTAATTACTCTTTGCCATGTAATCCAACATATTCATAGGTTCTAGGGATTAGAACATGGACATATCTGGGGACCATTAAACTGTCTATAACATGTATGTATACTTTCCAAACAAATTAACTTCAACTGCCAGAGTCTGAATGGAATAGTGATGTTATTTTGACAGCAAGAGAAGAAGAAAACTCTAATCAGGGGGAACACAGCCTCTACAGGGAGGTGTTTGCAATGTGCATATTTGAATTAGCAATTTTTTTTTGTTTCACTGGACCACAGAGGTCAAGTCCAAAAGTAAGGGGAAAAAAAGAGAAAGGAAAAGGTAAAAATAATCATGCATATTTTGAAAAATTAATCCCTTTTAACTATGATAGCTACATGTTCAATGCTATCTTAAAGGCTGTTAAATAATTTTTTAAAACATGCTTTACTTTCACGGAACTAGAGAAAGAACAATAAACCAAACCCAAAGCTAGCAGAAGGAAATAAAATATAAAGCAGAAATAAATGATGTGAAGAATACAAATAGGAAAAAAAAAATCAGCAAAGCTAAGAGCTGTTTTTTTGGAAAGAGCAACAAAATTGATAAACTCTTAGCTATATTAAGAAAAAAAGACAGATAAAATCAGAAATGAAAGAGAGAACATTACAACTGATGCTACAGAAATAAAAAGGATTTTAACACTATGAACAATAGTATGACAATATATTGGATAACCTAGAGGAAATGGATAAATTCCTAGAATATACAAACTACCAAGACTTATTATAAAGAAACAGAAAACCTTAATAGACCTATAAGTAGTATGGAGATTGAATTAGTAATCAAGTCTCCTATCAAAGAAAAGCCCTGGATCTAATGGCTTTGCTGATGAATTCCACCAAATGTTTAAAGAACTAAAACTAATCCTTTTCAAACTTTTCCAAAACATTGCAGGAGGGAAAACTCACTTATTCTATCAGGCCAACAGTGCCCTGATACCAAAGCCAGGCAAAGATACTACAAAAAAAACTGTAAACCAATATCCCATATGAACAACAATGCAAAACCCTCAACAACATACTGGCAAAATGAATTCAGCAGCATATTAAAATGATTATACACCATACCAAATGGGATTTATTCCTGGAATGCAAGGATAGTTCAATCTACAAAATTGATAAAAGTAATGCATCATATTAACTGAATGCACATGATCATCTCAACTGACAGGGAAAAAAACATTTGAAAAAATTTAATACCCTTTCATAATAAAAACTCAACAAATTAGGAGTAAATAGAAACGAACTCAACATCATAAAGGCCTTATATGAAGAGTCCACAGCTAACATCATACTCAAAATGGTGAAAAGACTGAAAGCTTTCCCTCTAAGATTAGGAATACTAATGGACAAGGATGTTTGCTCTCACCACTTGTTTTCAACATAGTATTGGGAATACTAGTCAGAACAATTAGACAACAAAAAGAAATAAAAGGCATCCAAATTGGAAAGGAGAACTAAAATTATCTTTGTTCACAGATGATATGATCTTATATGCAGAAAACTCTAAAGAGTCCGCAAAACAACAAAAAAGACCCCATTTGAACTAATAAGTGAATTCAGCAAAGTTGTAGGATACAAAATCATCATATGCAAAAATTAGTTGCATTTCTATATACTAACGATGAATAATCCAAAAAGGAAATTAAGAAAACAATTCCATTAATAATAACATAAAAAAGAATAAAATACATAGGAATAAACCTGACCAATTAGGTGAAAGAGTTACACACTTAAAACTACAAATCTCTGTAAGAAATTAAAGAAGACAACAATAAATGGAAAGATCTCATGCTCATTGATCAGAAAATTAAACATTGTTAAAGACACCAATACTACCCAAAGCAACAGACAGGTTCAACACAATCCCTATCAAAGGCAGATTCGAGATGGCATAGAAGATAGAGGCAGTGCACACCTCCTCTCGCAACCACATCAAAATTATAACAAAACTCCAGAGCAACCAGTACGCGGAGTTGCCAGAGGTCTGGCTGAAAAGAAGCCCTACAACTAGGTCACCTCAAATAACAGGTCACTTCAAAACGGCAGGAGGAGTGAAGATACAAAACAGCCTAGTCCCACAACTATATGTGGTGATCAAGAATTGGGAGAGGTATCTTGGCTGGAGAGCCACCTTCCCCATCTGAGGTTGTGGCTGAGTGAGACGGAGGGCTGTGAGAAGCAGAAACCTTCCTCTTTAAAGGGCCCATTCCTGGCCTTACTCGCTGACAGACTCACTTACTCTGAGCTCCAGCGCTGGGCAGCTGTTCAAGGAACACCAGGGATATATGGGGAGGCACTGAGCTGTTGGGCTTCAGTACGAGGGCTGGAGGGGTGTCAGCTTACACCCAGAAAGAGGTGGAGGCACAAACCATTGTTCTTTTGTTGAGCCCTCCCTCCTCCCAGCCTGCAGATGCAGGCACCATCGACCTGGATAACACAGGTCACTCCACTCAAGAGATTCCCTGAGACTCCAACTCTCCCAACCTGTGACCCATTCAAGCTGCTTCCAGAGATTTATTCCATACAAACGGGTTGTCTTGGCTCCTGATGCAAACTTTCACAAAATCTCTCAAAGGCTCACAAAATCCGAAAAACCAATATCTGGCCTTGACATGCCCTGTACCTCTTGCTGAGCAGCCCCAAGCCCCGTACCAGTGGCAGCCAGCCTCGGTTTCTGTCTTGGCCCCTTGAGGCCCCTATAAGCCCAGCATGGATGCAGCCATATGTGAATTGTTTGGTGACCCTCATCAGGTGGCCCCAGAGGTGCACAGGCGGCAGCTGAACTTGGCCTGCAGCTAGACCTCTCCCAGGTCTGTCCCAAGGGGCCCCACAGCACACCTACTAACCTACTACATAAAGCCACTCTACTAAGAGTGGGAGACTTAGGAATCCTATCTAATACATAGAAACAGATACAGGGAGGCAACCAAAATGGGGAAACAAAGAAGCATGTTCTACATGAAAGAACAGAAGAAAAAGAATTCATCAAAATGGAGACAAGCAATATACCAGATGCAGAGTTCAAAACACTGGTTATAAGGATACTCAAAGAACTTAGAAGAAGAATAAATGAACTCAGTGAGAACTTTAACAAAGAGATAAAAAAACAAATAGAGAGGAAAACATAATAGGGAGCCAGTCAGAAACGAAGAATACAATATCTGAGATGAAGAACACTTTAGAGAGAATCAACAGAGTGGATAAAAGGAGGATCAAATCAGCATCACAGAGGATGGGGTACCAGAGGATAACCAAATAAAATATCAACAAGAAAAAAGAATGCAGAAAAACGAAGACAGTTTAAGAAGCCTCTGGGACAACATCAAGCATTAACAACTTTCACATCACAGGATTACCAGAAGAAGAGAGAGAGCAAGGAATAGAAAATCTTTTTGAAGAAATAATGATGGAACCCTTCCCTAACTTGGTAAAAAAATAGATATACAACCCCAGGAAGTTCAGAGTCCCAAACAAGATGAACCTAGACACATCATAATTAAAATGCTAAAGGTTAAATTCAAAGAGAGAATCTTAAAAGCAGCAAGAGAAAGTTAGTTACATACAAGGGTATGCCCATAAAACCGTCAGCCCATTTCTCAACAGAAACGTACAGGCCAGAAGGGCTTGGCACAAAATATTTAAAGTGTTAGAAACCCAGGACCTACAACCAAGATTACTTTACCCAGCAAAGTTATCATTTAGAATCGAAGGACAAATAAAGAGCTTCCCAGGAAAGAAAAAGCTAAAGGAGTTCATCACCACCAAGCCAGTATTACAGAAAACATTAGAGAGACTTCTTTAAGGAAGAAAATACGTATCAAAAGTCTAAATAAAGAATGGCAATAACTACGTATCTACTGATGAGTATTAAAAATGAAAAAGAATTAAATGCTCCAATCGAAAGATAAGGTGGCTGGATGTATGAGAAAACAAGACCCTTACATATGTTGCCAATAAGAGATTTCAGATTAAAAGACACACACAGGCTTAAGGGGGATGAAAAAGATATTACATAATGGACATAGAGGGTAGTGTGTTGAATGGAGCAAGTCAGACGGCGGAAGACAAATGCCATATGATTGCATGTATATATGGAAACTAAAGACCAAAATAAACAAGATTTATTGGGGTGATCACTTTGTAAGTTACACAGATGTCTAATCACTAAGTTGTACACCTGAAACTAATATAGTATTCTATGCCAACTACAACGGGAAAAAAATTACAAAGAGGAAAAAAAAATCCCTATCAAATCCCAACAGCAGTTTGGCAGAAACAGAAAAATCCATCCTGAAATTCATATATAATTTCAAAGAGCCCCTAATAGCCAAAACTATCTGACAAAAAAAAACAAAGTTGGTAGACTGCTAAAGCTGATCCATAAACCAGTCATCACAGAGGACTCACGCTTTTTTATTTCAAAACTTACTACAAAACTGCAAGTGTGGCAAAGATGTGGAGAAACTGGAACCCTTGTACACTATTGGTGGGAATGTAAAACAGTGTGACAATTATGGAAAACAGTATGGTGATTCCTCAAAATATTAAAATCATAATTACTACAGAGCCAGCAACCCCAAGTCTGGGTATACAGTATAGCTAAAAGAACTGAAAACAGCATCTCAAAGAAGTATTGGCACCCCATGTTCACTGCAGCATTATTTACAATAGTCAAGAGGTAAAAGCAACTCAAGTGTTTATCAATAGATGAATACATAAACAAAATATGTTAATACAATGGAATATTATTCAGCCTTAAAAAGAAAATCCTGTCACATGCTACAGCATGTATGAATTTTGAGGACATTGTGCTACATGAAATAAGCCAGGCACAAAAGACAAATACTGTATGATTTCACTTATGAGAAATTCAAAGTAGTCAAATTCATAGAAAGAAAGTGCAATGGTGGTTGCCAGGGGATGAAGGGAAAGGGGAAATGGGGAGTTATTTAATGGATATAGAGTTTCAATTTTGTAATATAAAAAAGTTTTGGAAATTTGCTGTACAACAATTTGAATGTACTTAACACTTATTGAACTATACAATTAAAATAGTTAAGATTATAAATTTTATATAGTGTATTTTTTTATAACGAAAAATTTTTAAATATGCTTCACTACATCTTGACAACTAAAAAAAAAAAACCAACCAAATATTCAATTACCAAACACTTTAAGCATGGATGCAAAACCAAATTCCTCCCACTCACCTTCCAACTCACCTTCGCTTCGGTGCCCTAATGAAGAGCTCACAGAGGAGCCTGCCCTGTTCATCCTTATAGTCTCGGATAGTGTTGTAGAGTTCATGGCACACAGCAATCTACACATAGAAACAAGAGAAAAATCACCAGATAAGTGAGCAGAAAGCCAGTGTGGGCATATACATTATCTTTAATAAAAACACACCCATAAAAGGCAAGTAGATAAAGGACAAATCCCCAAATAGCCATTAGGAACTCAAGTCTAAAATATGCTGACAGTATCTCTATTTAAAATAATTTAACTGATAAATGTTTTGGTATCTTTCATCAGATTTATGCTACTGATTTTTTTTTTTCTTTTATACTAAATCAATTCATATCACTCTCTTGTTTAAAATCATCCTATAGAGGGGCTTCTTACTACTCAGAAAATAAAATCTGAACTCCTAACATTGCCCATGGAGTATGTTGGGTAATTGCATACCCTGGCTGGGCACTTTGCCAGTCTCCTACCTCTTGACTGTCTTTCTGTAATCACAACACACCAAACCCATTCCTAACCCAGCCCTTCTGCCTAGAACATTCTTCCCCAGCACTCTGCAGGGTCGGTGCCTTCTCAACATAGAGAAATCTTTCTTGAAGGTCTGTGCCAAAACAGACCAGATCATCCAAACTTTTCTTCTTAGTTCTTATCACTAGCTGAGGGTAATTTATTATTTTTATTTATCTGTTTCCATTCTGCTTTCCCTCCAACACTAGAATTTAAGCTCCATATGAAAAATTGGCTTGTCTTACCCAATCACCAGAACAGTGCTTGTCACATGACAGTTATTTGAGTGAATATATAATGTGACATATTGATATTCCTTATATTATTTCATAATACTGATGTATTACTGTAAGATTTATGGCTAAACATATACTTTTCATAAAAGAAAAATTAAGAATATTAATCCAGAGGAAAAAGAAATGGAGGCCTTGTATATTAACCACTTATCATTAAAGGAAGGGTAGAGTATCATAGGAAAAGAGGAAGAAACTGTGTGATCCAAGTTACTCACAGGATCTACAGTTGGAAGATTGGAAAGTCTCCTCCTTTTCCTGCTTGGGCCTGGTGTGGACACGGAATGGTGCCCGTCGTCAAAGTCCCCACTGACACTACTGGAAGGGGAAGTAGCTCTTCTTCTCTTGGAACCCATTGAATCCAACTTCTTCTATAAGAAATAATTAGCCATGTTCTTATATTTAAATTTAGAGTCTGCCACCAAGCCCTCAGCTGGCCACCTGATATCAAGCTTCTGATTCACTCTGGAGGATATTTTAACTGTAGCAAAGAAGCTTGACTAAGTTTTTTTCAATGGAAGTCCTGGACCTTGTTGCTTTAGTCTCTTCATTAATCAGAATGCTACACTTTCAGCTTGGATGGGATAAATTCAGCAAAAGTGTACTCATCTGTATATCACCAATTTTGAACGACTCGATCACTTCAAGGCCCCCAAATTACTTTGGACTGGAGTTTGAAAACCCACAAGTAATGGTATACTACTATACTGAAGGTATTGATCTCTCATCCTCTAAGACAGCCAGGCAGACCTTGGGGACAGAGGCCCCAAGGCAGTCACCTCTGAAGTCAGCAGCCTCATCTGTCTTCTCCAACGTGTCTTATAATTATGATCATTTTCCAAGTAGGCCATGACATAATAAAGAATAGGCAACTGTGCCTGTGGCAAAGGAGCAGTGCAAAAAGGCAGGGGAACATAGGACAATTAACATTTGAGCATTTTAGATGCACCCTAAAATTAACACTTTGAAAATAAATTTTCTCCACTTATTAAAGATTCACAAGACATACCCCTGGAAAACACTTAATGTAACTTGCCATACCTATGCCAAAGTAACAAAACTGTGCTTTGAAACTTTTGCCAATCCAAACTAACATGACACATGTTACCCTATCCTTGTGAATTTTGAAACTTTACCCTATCCTTGTGCTTTGAAAAGTACCCCAGAGGTGAGCTTTTAGATCCTGCTTGGCCTTTCAGAAACACAAAAATTTGCTATCAGTTTCAGGCAGGCTGCTAAGTATCTAATCTTAATACAACTTTACAAATATATACATTTGACTATAACACAAGAAATGTACTCACTGAAATAATCTCGTATAGCCAGAGGAAAAGGGTGTATACTGGAAGGTCCCACACACTTATACAATTTTTCAAGTGTATCAAAGGTGTTGTGATTTCAAAGGTCTTTCTCTAAAGCTAAAAGAAAAACTGATCCCAGTTTCACTCATCAACATTCAATTTCAGGTAACTAAGACAACGGCGGCCGAAAAAATGGGTTGCCAATAGTATGGAGAGAAAAATTGGGGATCTCCAGGGAATGAAAGCAGGAACAATCCTGGCAATCAACTAAGACATAAAAGGAGTCTCCTATGTCTTCCTTCAATAGTCCACATGGTATCTGAAAACAGAGCACAACATGAAGATGTTCCTTCCTCTAGGCTTTGGTTTGTTACAGTGTATTAGTTTGCAATTGGCTACAACTAGTGAAAAGCTTCAAAGGGCTTAGGCCAAGGGCAGTCAAGTTTTGCTGATTTTTGTTTGTTTTATAAAAAGTCTGATGAACTGGCCTCATTTCATTAAGATGAAGAAACTAAGGACCCATCCTTTGTAAACAATCTATGACAAGGACACAAGTGAATCTGATGAACACAAGAGGGAATCTTTATGGAAAGGATAACAAAATTTAAGAAAGATGGAAGGGAAAAGGCAGGGAAGGACAGAAAAGGAAAGGGGTATAGATGATCAGTAATTTACCAGCTTTACCAGAGCACAACCAGCGCCTCGAAAAGCCAGTCTCCTCATAATGTCTGAAGGCCAAGTGAAGCCAGTGGGAGAAGGCAGGGCTTTAGAAGTGCTGATTCAGTGTTAATATATTCAAAACTGAAAGAGAAGAACAAGACGGAGAAAAGGGAAATAAAAAAGAAGGGTCAGAAGGAGTAAAAATGAGCACGAATAGATAGAAAACATTCAGTAGAACTGCTAAGGAAAGAGAACTCAAGAAAAATAGGCATATCAATTTCCTTGCGCCAATGAAACAAACTGCAGCAAAGGCTCAGGCATTAAAAATTAAAAGTAACTAACATTTCTTCCATTTTAAAACCAAATGTTTTTCATATGCTTAAAGATGTCTCACTGAGGTTCCCCTTTACTCACATGGAATGACTGTCAATTCCAGGAATGAAGCATGCCTGCCCAAATGCCCCCTAGTCAATAAGAGCAGAGTTCAATCACAGAGCTGGAAAGGAGAGTGAACATATGTGGAAGGTTCACACTGTGATACCAAGTGTTGGTAAGCTGGAACAAACTGAAAATGGCTCATGTGAGCAAAGAGTATGGAAAACTCTCCCCAACCCCTCCCCCCCCAAAAAAAAATTCAGAGAAAGACATTTCTTTCCAAAAGTCTTATGAGCAATGGGAAGAAACCACATACAAGTTAGAAAGGTTAAAAAAACAAACAAAAAAAGTCTTCAACCACAATGGCAAGTCAAAGTTACTTTTATAAATAATCCACTGAAAAGCTTAATGACAAAAAATAAAAATCATTGGTGTGTATACAGTTTAGACCATACAATATCCAAAACTCCTTGAGTCATAAGTTTACTCTGATAAAACAATAAAAAGATGTAACTTAAGAGTAGTTTTCAATTAATTTCTTATTCAAAGGATGCATTTAAAAATGTACTTTGAAAGTTTAGCAAGAAAGGCCGTGTGGCCAGGTGGGTAAGAAGAGCAATATGATCTGAGCTCAGAAGACAAAAAGAGTCCCAGTTTTTCCACTGCTAATTATGCTTTGATGTTGCTTGAGTCACAACCTTTCAGGTCTGTTTCTTCATTTCTAAAATGAGAACAGTAAAGCATACGTATCTCCCCTGAATTGTCGTGACACATGTTCCCTGGGCACAGAAAAGAATTTTATTCATTTTGCAGCCCTGGTTTATAGAATATTTGGTATTGTTTGGTGATCAATTTATGTTTTTAATAAACATTAAAAGTGCATTTAAATGAGACATTTAAAAAAGTTTGTGTAATTTAAAAAAACCGTGAGCATCCCTTCAGCAATTCTTTTTCCATGAAAAGAAATAGATTCCCTGGATAACAAATTTTAAAAAGGCATTGATTTGGTCACATGTCCAAAAGACTGATAACAAATGATAAATTACAGTAAAGAATAACTTTATAAAATGTATATCTGGGAAAATATTTACTCAGTATAGCCAAATGGTATATTTTGACAGCTTATAAAGTTTAGTATTCTCCTGCATTTCTAATGGTACTTTACACTGTAAATGCACACTTAACACAAAAATTGTAGAAAACAGATAACTTAAAGGAAAAAAGAAACCACTTATAATCCTACTTCCCAGAGAAAAACCACCCTTAACTTAGGCTTTCAGAGCTTTCAGTATTTATTTTATGCCTCAGTTGCTTTTTTTTTTTTAAACAAAAGTGTCAATAAACTATGTATTATTGTGCAGCTTTTTTCAAATTAAGGAGATTCTTCCAAGTCAACATCCTTCCACATGATATTTGATGGCTTGATAGTTGTTTAACGTATAGATATACCACAATTTACTAATGTTGGGGATTTGGGTAGAATATTTGAAGTATTCTGCACACTCCCTAAGCTAAAGAAAGTGGGCAAGGCCCTCCATTTATCCACTCACACAACTGTTACTGTTTTAATTTGAAATACTTCTTCAAAAGATACTTTCCAATCTTACTTTGGATCTTAAAATATGGGCAATCTGTTAACGAGTAAAGCAAACACTATACTACTCTCTTATATTTGTATTGAGTTCAGTTGGCTTCCGACTTATATTTGAGAAAGAGTGCATTTCTAAATAGGGGGAAAAAAAATACCTAAAAACCATTTTCGAGGAACCCTAGTTTGTTGGAAAATAAGTTATGTGTTTTACTCCATGTTTCTGTAATTGTAATAATTTCTATATCCACTACACTGTGTACCTGTCACTTGTCTTTCAGAATTTCTTCTAAATTTCTGCCAATCTTCCCCTTTACGTTACCAATATCTACCCTATAATAACAAAACTATGCTTCTCTTTCAGTAAAAATTTTGAGATGAAAAAAATGTTAAAAACCAGAAACCTCCATTTTTTGTGTTGCAGATAAGAAACTTAAGTGTCTGGCGGCTACTATAAATACAAGTCCCATTGATAAAAAATACTCAGTCTGAACACAGTCATCTGGAAAGTATAAAAATCACTAGAAGAGTTTGTATCAGAACCGTCAAGCAGTAACAAAAAAGAAGGTCTTGACCTGAGGAGGAAATAACTTTCCCCATCTGTCACTGACAAGGGGGACCAAGGAAAACGCTGACAGCTTTGAGCACTCCGACGGCCGCCGGGGGCGGGAAAAAGAAGCGCGGGGAGTTTCCCGGCTGCGGCGCGCTTTTGTCCCGGCAGGCAGGTGCGGCAAAGCTGCCAGGCCCGTCTCGACGCCCGCCGCCGTGCCCCACCCGCACCTTGCGCCCGGCTTGACCCACGCATCCAAGCGGCCGAGGCTGGGCCTCTGCCGCGGCTCCCGCCCGCTCGGGCCCACACAAAGGCCCGGCAGCCAGACGAAGAGGTGCGGCCCCGCCCGCCCCAGGCCCGGCCTTACCCAGCCGCTTCGCCGCCTGCAGCCCCGGCTGCGGTCCCCGACCGCCGTGCCCCGCCCCGTGGCCGCCACGGCTGCTGCTATTGCTCCTCCGTTCGCGGCCGCTGCCGTCGCTCCTGCACCCGCCGCCCTCACCACCCTCACCCCTCCCGGTGCCGCCGCAAAACCAGCCAGGGGCCGCCGAGCGAACCCGGCCCCTCGCGACACTGCGTGCGCGCGCACGCGGACCGGATGCAGCGCGCTTTACGGCGGCAGCGTGAGTGCGTGACGCTCGCCGGTGTTCTCATTTCGCACGTGGCACCGGCGGGGGCACTTGGTAGACCGTATCGTTGCCGTTACTGCGGTTCCCACCTCCAGAATGAAGCGACCGAGTGAGTGTGGTAGCAAAGGCGGGTGTGGAGGGGCCTCTGTTCCTGATAGTCGACGAACCCATCAGGGCGCTTTTTTCCGGCTTGGTGTCTTTGGGAATGGGGATCTGCGGGTAGACCGTCGGTCATCGTCCTGATTCTGCGTATAACCTAGGGTTTGAAGGCCCCACATTAACCGCGAGCCCATGGTGCAGAATGAGGGCTGGGCCCCAGAGATGGATATCAGGCCAGACTCTCGTGAGGAAACAGCGTCTGAGCCAGGTTTAGTGCCGAACTTTTTTTCTTCTACGGCCACGTTCAGTCTGGCCCCAGCGAGGTCTGAGAACCGCCTCTCAAACCCACTGTTCGTCCTACCTTGTGACTGGTGTAGTTTGACAAGAAGTGGCTCTCGTTTTGGGTCTTATACACTCCTGAGTACTATCCCAGTCCAATATGAGAAGAGTGGGAGCAGGGGAGTTGGGCTTTACTCTGGATCTGTTGAGTCAAATTTTCTGGAATTTGAGAGTGTCATGTGTATTTTTATTGTGTCCCCACGTAATTCTTTATGTTGAGAGCTTATTAATTACTTAACACAAAAAGGGACGTGACCCCAGAGCACACCAAAACTTGATCATTTGTGTCTAATCTTTTTGTGATGTATTTCTTTGCAGAGTTAAAGAAAGCAAGTAAACGCATGACCTGCCATAAACGGTATAAGATCCAAAAAAAGGTAAGTCTTGTGTATAGGGGAGCTATACCAAATATAATGCTAAACTGATTTCTGCTTCACTTCTCCAGAAGGAGGTTTGGGTAACTATGATTTCTTCTCAAGAAATGGAGGTTGGATACATTACCATGACACAAACTCTCAGGCATCAAGAATCCATCCATAGGAAAATTTAGTAATTCAGTGAATGATAAGAAAGTTTGTAACTTTGATCAACATGTTAACAACCTCTGCAAAAAGAATCTGGTGATGTTTTCTTGCTGTTTTATACATAAATGTGCACCTCTGTGTGATACAATTAAAGGTCCATTTTTCTGGGTCATTTTACAGGTATAACCAAACTGCAGCCAGATTAGTTTCTCACAGGAATTGTGTAATATTTTTGTAAACTGATAAAAATTTTTATTATGATAGGTACGAGAGCACCATCGAAAATTGAGGAAGGAGGCTAAGAAACGGGGTCGCAAGAAGCCTAGGAAGGATCCAGGAGTTCCAAACAGTGCTCCCTTTAAGGAGGCTCTTCTTCGAGAAGCTGAGTTAAGGAAACAGCGAGTAAGATGTTAGCTGAAATTTTCAACAAGTGTTATTTCTTTTAAAGTAAAATGACAATACCATGTCATTTGGGCTCCCCTGTTTCTCTTGGACACAGCTTGAAGAACTAAAACAGCAGCAGAAACTTGACAGGCAGAAGGAACAGGAAAAGAAAAGAAAACTTGAAACCAACCCTAGCGTTGAACCACCTAATATGGAACCTGTGAAGAAGGTACGATTAGGTTTCTTTGTGAATGAGATAACTTATGATATAGAAGTAAAAGCACATAACTAGGGCAGGAGTTGAAATATCCCTAATCAGCCATGAGAAACAGATAATAAACTGCTGAACTTCTAATTTTGTGTCCTTTTTCACTTGTCTTTATCTTTTAGGAATTTGGGCAATGCAACGCTAAGAACAAAGCAAAGTTGGGCAAACAGAATCCAAAGAAGTTGTATTGTCAGGAACTTAAAAAGGTATCTTAGTCTAGGTCAGTGTTTAAAAATGGTGCTGAGATTTAAAATACTAGTCATTCCTTTTTCTTGACACCAACCTTGTAAAGTTGGAAGTGGAATTCACTTGAGTTGGAAGGAAGACTTCAGCAAGTTGGCTTATCCTTTTTAGGGCTTTTCTGTGATGTTTAGCTGAAATAAATATTCGTTTTAAATTTTTGTACAGGAATAGTTGCCGATAGCATGATTTACAAAAGTGGTGGTTTACGTTAAAGTAACATGTTAACATAGTAGTTTTTAAAATAGAGGGAAATACATCAGAGTAAGCAGTGTGAAAAAGAGTCTTTAAAGTACTGTGTTGAAACTAAGTGAAGGAGATCACTTGTTTTTTCCTAGCTCATTCTCTCTCCCTGTGAATAGAACTTGACTATGCTTCTCAGAAGCTTTTGGCAGGGCCACGAGAGCTTATCCAGCTACTCAATTCACTATGAAGTTATTTATTCAGACAGTGGGGATGTTTCTGCTTTTGCAGTCTACTTTAATGAGAGGCCAGAGGCTACCAAGCAAACCTGTATTTTATTTTCCTGTGAGAAATGAACATTCTTCATACCAAAGTGAATAAATGAGATCCCACACAGCTCACCCTGTTGTAAAGTGGATGCCAGTATACTTGTGTGGAGGGTGTTCCCAGAGCAAAGGATGGTCTTTTGATAGTTCTACCTTGACAGGTGATCGAAGCTTCAGATGTTGTGCTGGAAGTATTGGATGCCAGAGATCCACTTGGTTGCAGGTGTCCACAGATGGAAGAGGCCATCGTCAAAAGTGGACAGAAAAAACTAGTACTTGTATTAAATAAATCAGGTGAGCAAAAGGGATCCCTTTTATGTTCCATATGCACTAGTGAGGTATGATGAAATGAACAGTCTGATTGTCACTGAAGACTGATAAGATCCAACTCTGACCTCAGCAAAGCCAGTGCATTTACTCTCTTGTTGCCAAAGACAGTGTTGGGCAGCGGGGTGGGGCTGTTTTCTACAAGTGCTTTGACTGCCTTCCAATGTTCTTTTTCCATTCAATACTTACCTTATTTAAGAGTGTAAACTCCCATACTCAGCTTATTTTGCAATATATTTCACATAGTAAGTGAAGACAGTGTGTGATTCCCCACACCTGCACAGTGCTGATAGGTGACAGTATTTGGATGAAATGCATAGTTATGTGTCTGAATTTGAGCAGCGAGAATAAGAGAACCCAGAATAGAGACCTGTGAAGCAGAGGTAATATTGGGATCTGAAATTACTATTGGAGTCAGTAAACATGGCTGCTATTGGATTGTAAATTCTGGAAACATAGCCATAAGGTTAGTAGGGTAATAATCTAGAGGTTGACTTAATCCTGAAAGGGTGGACAGTACAGAGGAGAATTGAAGCAATACACAGTTGTAGATATTGAACTCTGTTAAGGGCAATATGGTGGAGAGATAACCCTCATTCCATCTTTCAGTTAAATCCTTTGTGGGGAGGAAAAAAGGGAAAAGGCAAACAAGAGAGCCTTAATTTACCAGGTTTTGCCATTTCATCTCAACAAAATAACCAAATTCCAGCATGTGTCTTATTCCTAATCCCTATCAGACTTGGTACCAAAGGAGAATTTGGAGAACTGGCTAAATTATTTGAAGAAGGAATTTCCAACAGTGGTGTTTAGAGCCTCAATAAATCGGAAGGACAAAGGGAAGATAACCAAGGTACTCTTTATTTTCAGTAGTGAGAAGTGTGCTTTTCAGATTTTTGGATGGCTGAAATATGATGAGTATACAAAATCTTGATAAAAAATGAGAACATATAAGATCCAACTCTGATTTCATCCAGAGGTAATCTGAAAAGCAGTAGAGTGTGGTAATTTTAACAGCTGGGTTCTGGAGCCAGATTTTTGAGTTTTGTATAGTTATCAAAAGTAGTGAAAACTAATTACTTGAAATTTTAATGTGAAGGTAAGGAGAAAAGCTGCTCCATTCAAAAGTGAAGCCTGTGTTGGGAAGGAAGGTCTTTGGAAACTTCTTGGAGGTTTTCAGGAGACTTTTGGCAAAGCTCTTCAGGTTGGAGTAGTTGGTGAGTTTCAATTCAACATATTTTATGTTTTAATCTCTTAAGTGCAAAGAATTTTTCCATGTTAAGAGTATATGGGGTTGTTGCTAAATAAAGGGCTCGTTTAAACACTAGGTTCTTGCCCACCTTACCAAACATACACAGAGATGCGACATAAAAACAAATTTTAAGTAATTGTTGCCTGTTTTTATATTTATTTATTTAATTAATTAATTTATTTATTTAGCCAGCTGGGCACTGTAGGAAGTTGGCTTCTAAAAGCTCTTGGTTTATTTGAAATAATCTTTTCCTACTCATTACTTAGGCAAGATATGAGGATGCTAAGATTGGTCTTAGTGTTGAAGTGAAGACACTCAGATCCAACTCTGATCTTGCTGTAAACATCAGGCAAGCATGAAATAAGCAGTGGAAATGTTATAATTACCAGCACATAATGCCTTTTGTATGGGGATTTACCATTTGTAGGTTTCCCAAATGTGGGGAAAAGCAGCATCATCAACAGCTTAAAACAAGAACGGATATGTAATGTCGGTGTATCCATGGGGCTTACAAGGTAAACTGAGTTGTTCTATAATTGTAATATTTCATGATGAATAAATATTATTTGATTTGGCTAGCTTAAGAAAGACAATTTCGCATTCTTTAGTAGTGTCAATGAAAGGAATAAGGGTTAAGGGAGTGCTAGGTTTGAGGAAGAATTAGAGTGGAATAACTGCCCATAATCTGGTTTGAAAGACATAAACAAATAGATTCTAAGCTGCCTCAGAGTAAGTGATGCTTGAACCTGGCTTGGAAATGAATACAAGTCTGCCAGGTAGAAGAGAGGAAATATGGCAGAGGAAACAAAACAGCATGTGTTCAGGTCAATATATAAGCTATATAACACATGTTTTTCTTTAGAAGGGGATGGTGTGATGTTAATGATTTTAGATAAACATGAAGCAAATGATGATTATCTGGATCTGACGGACTGTGCTGAGTTTGTTCAATCCAACCCTGAGCTTCGTGTTGTCTCGTCCTCCACATAAACTAGTACCCTCATCAATTATCATCTCTTATTCCAGGAACATGCAGGTTGTCCCCCTGGACAAACAAATTACAATCATAGATGGTCCAAGTTTCATTGTGTCTCCACTTAACTCTCCCACTGCACTTGCTCTGAGAAGTCCAGCAAGTATTGAAGTACTAAAACCAGTGGAGGCTGCCAGTGCCATCTTGTCCCAGGCTGATGCTCGACAGGTAAAAGAACCCTTTTCCCCTAGAGCTCTATTTTCTCTTTCATCTTACGCATTTTAGGTAGAAATTTTCAAAGTTGTTTATACAACCACATTGTATCCAACGAGTGATAGTTTTTCTTTTTTTTTTAAAGGTAGTATTAAAATTCACTGTCCCAGACTTTAAGAATTCTCTGGAATTTTTTACTTTGCTTGCTCAGAGAAGAGGACTGCACCAAAAAGGTGGAAGCCCAAATGTAGAAGGTGCTGCCAAACTACTGTGGTCTGAATGGACAGGGTAAGTTTTCTTTCTCGGCATTTTGGTGACCAAATAGAATAAAGAAACTGATTTTTGACAAAATCTTATTTTTAATACCAGTGGCTCCTTAGGTTATTATTGCCACCCCCCTACATCCTGGACTCTTTCTCCACATCTTAATGAGAGCATTATGACAGACATGAAATGGGGCTTTAATCTAGAAGAACTGGAAAAGAACAATGCACACAGCATACAAGGTAAGCAAGGATTGTGCTTGATTGCTGTCATTAGCTGACAGCCAATAAAGGTCTCATCTGTTTACATGTACTGTGTTCCTTTCCTAGCCATCAGGGGCCCTCGTTTAGCCAGTAGCATCCTTTTCCAGTCTTCAGGGATGACAAATGGAATAATAGAGGAAAAGGACATACCTGAAGAATTGCCAAAACAGAAAGAGAGGAAGAAGGAAGAGGAGGAGGACTATGAAAACATGGACAGTGACCAGGAAAGTGTTAATGAAGAAGCTGATGTAAGTATGTTGTCTAAATTATTTAAGTTGAAATTTTCCAACATTATAATGTAAAACAAATGGGAAGAGGCTGAAGGTAGAAATAAAATATTTCATAACAGACTATCAAAAAGCCCCATACAATTTAGGTATTTAAGTCTTCTAATCATTAGTCTTAGTTTCATGCATCCCATTACGTGTACCTTCAGATACTTTTCCTAGGTACATAGTTATTTAATGAGCAGACAGTGGCTACTAATATAGTAATTTTTCTTTGTCCCACAGGAAGAAGGCTCAGACATGACACCTGTCAAAGAGGCCTGGGAGGTACTACTACCTGAGGAGTCTCAAGCAGGTGAGTTGGGTGGTAGGGTTTTCCAACAAACCTGTGTGGTATGAAATAGTTTTTACTTTTTTTAACCTCACTTTTCTTTCTTCATATAGATGAACAGTTTGCACAATGTTGTATTTTGGATAGAATGACTGAAGATGATGCTTACGACTTCAGTACAGACTATGTATAACAACTTTGTCCTCTTATAAGGGTTTTTTTCTTTAACATTTTGAACAGACTCCTAAGCTGTTCTATGTATAATGTACTAGCGTTTGTAGTATGACATAAGCTGTGTAAATTTTGTAAATGTGTATCATGAAATTCATTTTAAAAAAATCAAGCAATGTAGAAAGTATCTGAATTCCATAAAGACACATCTTATACAGTAACTGGGTAGAAGTATGCTTACCTGGAAGCAAAAAATCAAACCAATGAAAAATGTAGGTTTCATTTTATTTAAAGATCAGGCCACAGGTTACAAAATTAAAACCAAGTAGTAGTGTTGAACTGGCTGTACTAGCTCTTTGAGTCTGTTCACCTCTGGTCATTCAGCACTGTAGTAAGCAAACACTTGGTAAGGCAGATGGAGACATATAGTCTTTTATCTTGGAGGCTGACTGCCAGACAATGTAGTCTGTCCTCTTTACCCAGCTGAAATGTCCCTTTTTCCATGAGTTGCTGCTACTGTTACTTTCCTGTAGTATCTGGAAGATAGATACATACTATCTTCCAGAATTTCCTGAGAAGTGCTTATAGCACAAATTATATTTTAGTTTATATTTGAAATCTCCATATGTCTTCGGATTAGGCTGAATTTGCCTGTTGGGTCTGGAATATACCATTTTTCCCAGATATCAGTATATGAAGCAGTTCTTCCCCATGGCTTAAAGTGCCCATTCCAATGGAGTAACTTGGCAGCTTTTACAAACTGGGGTGAATATCGTTTTCCAGCACTGGAGCCTTATGTTGAGAGAAAAACAGCCAAATGATTGTACTAGTCAGACATGACAATGCCATATCAACTGGAGAAAAGGAAAACTGGATGTATCCCATCCCTGAGGACAGTCCTTTAGATACTTAATTCTTTATTAGCTTAGGCTTTTGATTAATTATTTCTACTTACCAAGGTGGCGGACGTTCCACATTGGGTCAATAGTGGAGTGCTGTTGATAAAATACAATCAGCAGAGGAGGTGTTGTGATGCTGCCAGCCAGTGTTCTACTATACAGTCCTTCTCTTGGTGGGACAGATTAACAAATGTAAACTGTTAGTGAAGAATCCTGACCAATTCCTATCTTTGTATTTCAGGGTTGAAATACAAGAGTTTTCACAGTTAGGGCAGTTTTATACTTACTTTACATTGAGTTTCATCCATTTTTCCAGTTGGTTGGTTATATTCTGTCTTTTCCATTCTGTTAAGTTTGCAACAAAAACTCCAGGATTAAATGAGCAAGTACTGGCTTTCATGGAAAGCTTACGGATTCTTTCCTTTTTATAGTCAAGGTATCCAATGTAATTGTACTAAAAAACAAATGGAATATATAGTATGTTCACTGCTTCAAAGAACAGATACATATAGCCATGTACCACTTAATGACAAGGATATATGTTTCTGAGAAATGCATCATTAAGCAATTTTGTTGTACAAACATCAGAGTACACTTAACAAACCTGATGGTATGGCTCACTACATACCTAGGCGATAGCCTATTGCTCCCAGGCTATAAATCTGTACAATATGTCACTAGACAAAACACATGATTAAATCTGGATTTTTTTTAAAGTAATGCAATCAAGACAGTAAACATGAGGTATGATGCTGCTACAGGTATAAATGCAAACTGTTTTACAGCAAACTCTAAGTAGGAGTAAACTTCAATAATATAGTAAATACATAAACTAGTAACAGTCATTTATTACTATGTATTGTATATAATTACATGTTCTATACTTTTATATGACCTGCAGAACCACAAATACAATTAATGCATTGCGCTTCAACATTAAGATAGCTGTGACGTCACTAAGCAATTAGGAATTTTTCAGCTCCATTATAATCTTATGGGACCACCGTTGTAGATGTGAAACATCCTTGTGTATTGCATGGCTGTAATTTGATAGCCAGTAAAAAAGGAATGCTGCTTATTAAATTGACTTCAGGTTATTAGCAAAGGGCTCTACATAAAGCAAATTAAAGTGACATTTGGGATTCCAAGTTAGGTAGAATGGGGAACTAAACATTAAGCCAGATGTTCAAGGAGAATTAGGTTGCTAAGTCCACGAACTGATCTATAGGAAAGGCTTGAATTCTGAGATAATTGGGGAATATAAAATGCAGCAAAAAAAAATAAAAGTTCCCTGATTTTACTGCCTCTCCCCATTAACTGCTTTATAAGGCGCAGAGTATTTGCAAGGGGTCTAATTAGTAATTTACCTGGTTCCCTGCTCCACGGATGACAACTTTAGTGGAGGCTGAGTCACAATCTTCTGAAAATGCAGCTGCATGTCCTGGCTTCAGTGGTGTATTGTAGAGGGCAAGAATATCACCTGAAATACGTATAAGATTTACACTTGGAATTGCCTTGTGATTCTCTATCTTTCCCACTTCCCAGGATGACTTTTTATAGTACACCACAAATAAGACAACCACTTCAGCCCACACTCTGGATGGGGAACAGCACTAATGGGTGACATTCTTTGTTACCTTGTACAATTACATCATCATCCATATATATGGCCTTCTTTGCACTGGGAACCAGAATTGGCAAATAGAACCTTGCAAAGGTTAACTGAGAAAGAAAAAGGAATGAGGCATTGGCATAGGTTCATCAGTGGCTGCACTTTAACTTACTAGAAATCTACAATGCTCTACCCATGCAGGAAAAAGCTGAAGTTCTCTTGGAATTTCCCAGGCCTGGTCCCAGAGAACTGCCTGCACAGTACCCACAATTACCCAGATATTCCAATAATTTCCTAATACTCCCACATACAAACAAGGATGCACGGAACTCACTGGTTTTATGGATTGCCCCTGGTCAGGATCCTCCTTTACTTTCCCTTCCAAAAGCTTAGTGTCAAAATTCACAATTTTGTACCTGATGCTTTTCAGGGTATTACTACCGAGCCAGGACCTGATGAAAATAAAGCACCAAATATGTTTTAAATAATCACGTCCCCAAACCGCAGCCTTTTGTGCCTTCCAATGAGGGCATAATCTAAGAGGAACTCTAGGTACCAAATAGGTGTTTCTCAAGCCTCTTCACTTCTATGAGCTTTGGTTTCCTCATCTGAAGTAAGAGTATTCCCACTAAAGTCCCTCCTTGAACCAAGATTCTGGAGTAACATAATGCTACCACAAGGCTCATACTTTTGATCACTCTTCTGACACTAAAACTGTAGAAAAACTCACTATGGAACTCAGAGCATCCCATCACCACATGGACCATTCAGTGTTTATCCCTCTAAATACATAGGTGAAGAAAATGAGTATGACAGTGAAAGCTAATTAACAAAATGTAATACAGACCCATTCACTGTGATGACAAGTAATTCCTCCACCTGAGTCTAAGGAACTGCCTATAAGAAAACTCAGTGTTCCTAAAAGTACTGCACATTTTTCCTAGGTCTATTTTGATTCAGCGTTTTGTGAACACAATGTCATTATATAGCCTATTTTAAGGTAATAATTGTTTCTACATTATAATGGTTTCTGAGTTTTTAAAATATGGAAAAATAATTCACAACTTTCACTAAATATAAACCAAGTTGAGAAAAGCACAAGGACAAATGTTTTAGAACTTTGACAGCTATTAACCTATTAGACAAGATGTTTCTCGGAATAAACTTTGTAAACCTTAAGTCAAAGCATTTTCAAAACAGATGAGACTGTCCATTAGTTTGGGTTACTATTATTAATCACAATTAGTAAGGATTATATACTGAGCATGATTATGTGCTAGGTGATTTTTATATTTTTTCCCACATAACACAACAGTCCTCTAAGTTGGGTATTTTTTGCCCCATATTTACAGTATAGATGAAGAAACAGGCTCCAAAGGATTGGTTCCCCTATCACTCTGGAATTTGTATGAGTGTCTATGCTCATTTCACCACAATACCTTGCCATTGCTCCCACATCCTGTCTCTCTAGACCAGAGCTACTCAGAGCATGTTCATGAGATAAGGAACTTGTAACAGGATATAAGTCAACATATTGCTTCCTTCATTGAGAAAACTTTATTACCAAAAAAATTTTAAAAAAAATAACAGCTTAACAGAGTACGTAGTAACACAGTTGATTTATATCTTGGCACAAGTTCCTCATATAATAGTTTCTGCTATCACAGGGACAGGTTCATGATTCAATCACATAGAAAAACATACATGCAGCTTACATGTGGTATAATCAATCATACAGAAAAAAATATGTACTTATAGAGCATCCTCTAGAAGCATAATCATCAGGCAAGCAGAGCTCACCGGAGATGGTCTGCTGTACCATTGAGTGTAACAATGTAGAAAATCACATTGGATCGAGTATTGTGCTGAATGCTGTTTATGGCTGCAATGGTCCCCCCAAGCCTATCTTCAGATGCAGCAATGACCACAGGAATCTCTTCTTGTCTCCCGTCTACCGCATGTCGGGGAGCATTTGGGACAAAGTCTATGGGCTGAAGCCCCACAATTCCTGAATCTGCAAAAAATATACACAGGAAGGTACTGTGATACAAACACAATCTCATGAGGCTTTGACACAAAGCCCAAGACATGAAAAGAAATAAGGTGAGGACTATGATGCTTGTTTACCTTATTCTAATCCATTACAATGTAAAGCATACGACCTAGAAATTGTATGTTTTCCTACATATAACCAGGTTATTGGAAAAGCAGAAGCAGCATTTAAAAAAAAAAAAAAGGATGACAGAATTCTGATAAACTATGGTGGGAGTAGAATCTTTCTAGAATGTATTTTGGCAATTTGCATCAAGAGTCTTAAACAGGTACATGGCCTCTGACCCAATAATTCCTCTTGCTTCTCTTAAGGACAACTGAGAGGTAATGAAAAGCCACAATTTTATGTACAGTTGTGAACAGATTTAAAAAAATGGTTTTTCGAGCCATGAATTATGTCCCATAAATAGGCATGAAATCAATTTGGTGAGTCATGATCAGAATTTGAGTAGAAAAACAGTTTCTCAATTGGAATGTAATACTGAATTAAAAAATATCAAGAGTGCATCACACACAGCAACTGCACATATTGTTTCATAAACCTTCCTTTTTGCCTCATATTCATTTATTCATCATTGAACACTGAGCACCTACAACATGACAGGCATTATCTAGGAACTGGGGTTATAGCCATGAATAAAATAGACAAATCTCTACCATCATGAAAGGCAGAGAGATGATAAGCACATATATTTGCATATGTGTGTGCTGCATGTAATGCATTTCTTGCGGGGTTACCATGAAGTCTGAAAGTCATACCAAAAGACTTTCTTGCTTAAACAAACAAATGGCAAGTTGCATACGAAGAGTTTCTACTATCACTGTGACATACTTAGGATATAATCACGTGGAAAAACATGTCATATGTGCAGTTTATATATAGTATAATTTCAACTTTGTAGAAAAAATATATTTTTAAGGTTCTAAAGCCAAAATTTTTATAATAGTTATCTCTGGGCAATTATCATTTATTGAATAAATATTTACTGAGCACCTATTATGTAGCAGCCATCATCCACAGGCATGGGAGATAAAGCAGTAAACAAACTGCCCTCATGGAGCTTCAGTGCTAGTTTCTTTTTTATAAATGTTCTAATTAGCAGCAGGCAGTCCTTTACAAACATATATATGCATATGTATAAATACACATGTATATACACAGCCATAAAACATACTATCAAAGTACTCAGTGAAAGTCAGGGGAGAGCTATTAGTCTTTTCTTGCTCTGGTCAACTATGGTAGGGGGCAATCCAATAATTTTTGACAAGTACTGTGAAGCCTCAAACATCCCTCAACAACGTAGAACAGTACGAACAATTTTAAATAACTGGCAAAGGAATTATTTAATAAAGTGTGATTTTTGTAAACATTCGACGAGCCCTTATGGTTTTGTTTTATTATTAGAGTCCTGTTGATACAGTTCCACAGGTTACAGGAAAGTAACAGGTGAAGGAAAGTAACCACACTGACACTCTAGTGAACACAGCAAGCATTAAACACCAGTGACACTCAACTGTCACTACCACCACCTAAAGCTCAACTCTGCTGAAATTTGAGCAAATAGCAGCCCGCGGAGGATCCTCTAAGGTGTCTGATTTGGGGAAAAGGGATCTTTGGTTAGAGCAAACCTTTAGCAAACAACTGCACAGCAGGGAGAAGAAGCAGGGGTTGGGGGGCACTGCAAGAGCACAGTGAATAACACCATGCCATATCCCAGAGACTTTCAAAGCTTTTGTAAGTGAACGAAGAAAGCTTTCTTTTCATTTAACCTAGTGATATAACTTAGGATGTGAGACTCAGGGAACTCCAGGTCTTCAACAGATGCCAAGGCATCAGTAAGGGTTCCCATACCTGAAACCTCATTCCTTAGCAAACTGCTCAGGCTGAGGAAGTTATGGTGCAAAATTAGTAAGAAGAGAGCAACAGCCAGGACCAGGATGACGATGTTTACTGAAACAGAAGGGAAAAGCCTGCATTACATTTCTTTACCTTTTGACCGGGAATAAAAACAACATACCTTGTAGCAAAAGCATACCTTTACGGAATGACATCTTTCTCTTCTGTCTTACATAAATATTAGTTATTAACCCTACAAAACAAAAACAAGCCCCCAAAGTCAGTAGGTATATGAGAAAGGCCATCAGAATGCCTAAACACTTTCATTCAGGTAGAAACGAGCAGTGCATACTTTTCTGTCAGGAACTTTATTTTTTTTAATAGATGGAGATAGAGAAAGGGAAGAGGAGAGGGACAGGAAGAGAGATTGAGAGTTTCCTCATTTTATTTTTATTTATTTAAATTCATTGAGGTGACATTAGTTAATAAAATTAAGAAACTCATGTTGAATTAATAGTTTACAAGAACCCAATTTGGGATCTGAATTTTTTTTCAGTAGTCATAATAAAATACTTCCAAATAACTTGAAAAAATAAATAGCTTTGTACATTATATGCCACCAGATTAAAAGCAAAAGAAATTCTACCAAGAAGAATACCTGGGGTACAACCACTATGGAAATATTATCTGAATAAATTTCTACTTAAAATTCCTTGTTAGACAGGGACTCAGTTGTCTACAATCAAGTAACCTGAAATCAGCTTTCTGAGATGTATTCTATTCCCCTTTAATTGGATCAAAGAAGGCGGGGGGGAGAACATTTTTTACAATCATTTAAAACTATATCAGAAAAAAACTATAGCAGAGAAACACAATTAGAAAAATTCACAAAATCTAATCCTAGCAAAAGTTTAGAGTGCTATTCTCAAAATTAAAATCTGCTAAAGAAAAAGTGAGCTTCCTGTGGCTTCGGCTCTGTTGATTAATTACCCATCTCTTAAGAAAGTGGTGTCTAATACTGTTACTCTGCCTGTGGCCTATGCTCCCCAGCTCCTCTGATGCCTTCACTTTCAAAACAAATTCAATAGAAACAAGATTGTAGGTGGAATCTAATTAAACGATTAGATTTCTACAACCACTTCTGGAAAATGTTTCCTTAAAAACAGATTTTAAACAATTAAGATATTGCGATCCTACATTTGAGAACTTTACCCTTTCTACTTCATCGTCTCCCATAAGTACCTAACATTTACAAAGGGCTATTAATTTTACAAAGCATTTTCGAATACAGTGTATTTCTAAAATCAAAATAAGTTTTAATTAATTTAATCTTAAGTAAAGTGTGTGTATATTAGGCACTTGATTTCTCAAGGCCTTTGAAGAGAGAATATATTGAAAGGCTGTTTAAAACAATGGGAATCACAGGCCAGATTACAAATTTGGGAGAAAATAATTCAGACTCCCAAACAACAATCTAAAATACTCTCTCTCCCCCTTTACCTCTTCTTTCCTTCTAGAGCAGTATATATAAAGTACATTATATCAATGAACTCATTATCTAAAGAATACACATCACTATATATTCTATCACATTGTGGGCTGAGCCTTACCTATAGAAGCTGGCAGATTGGGAGTTTCTCAAAGTTCTAACATCTACCTTGGTGGAGCCAACTTCCACCAAGACTAGAAAATACTGTCTCACTCAAATAAATCATTTAATTAACAGTACAAGGCAGAGTTTTCGCTCAATAATGTTCAGTAACAGTTACTTACAGGTAGTACGTGCATCTCGAGGCACATGTATTTGTGCTATTTTGGTTAGCTAGTCACAAGAAAAACACAATCCTCACTGGTATTTGATGTATTTAAGTAGATTAGCATGGCAGAAATCATTTGCTCCTAAAACTCTTCCTTTGTTATCTACATGCGAAATGCCAATTATGTCTGATCCATAGTTCCTTTCCTGGTGCTATTCCTGGTAACATTCTTTGATATGGTTAGAAATTCTCAAAACGAAACTGCATGTAGACCCTGAGATGTATAATAGTGGCTCATATTTTTGTAAGACTACACAACAGTGTACGATTTGATCGGCAATATTCAAAGTGTTCATTATGAAAATTAGTTTTTAGAAACTTTAAAACCTTCACCTTCCCAATTTACTTACAAAACACACACTCACGCAGGGCAGGCACACCCAGAAATATGTGCAAAAGAAGATTTTTTTTAACTTGCTAGTTATCTGCATTAGTACCCACTTTTTCAGCAGCTGTGCTTACCTCTTCTGCTTTGCTTTGTACATCAAAGGCCATTCCATCAATGCTCTGCAATCTATCCTGTAACTGTTTCCTTGGTTCAGCATCAGCAAACTCTCTGCTGGATCACACCCATCAGTATATTATCATGCTCAAGTAATTTCCAGTTAATTAAAAAAAAAAACAAAACACTACTCCTCCACCCCAGCTGACACACAAATCTATTTCTCTACAACTCCTCTCTAAAATCTTTAAGGGATTTAAAGTCTCTAGCTCCACTTCCTCTCTTGTTCTCTTTAGCCTCCAACCAGACTTCTCTCCCTACTGCTCCATTCCATCTCGTCTTGTCAAGGTCACCAAAGACCAAGGTCATTTTTCTGTCCTCTTCTTACCCATTTCCTAAGAAGCCATCAGGGAAGTTCACCACTCCTGCTCCTCAATTACAAAATCTCATTTGTTTGTTTATTTCTGTCTTCCCCAACTAGTATGTCAGTTCTATGAGAACAGGACCTCAATGAAATTGTTTACTGATGTATCCTCTTCACCTAAACTAAATGGCAGTAGGCATGTGATATTTGTTGAACGATCTTGTTAATCTAGGAGCAAGGCTAGTGATTCTTGGCTCAGAAAGGGAATGCAATCTTTGATAATCATGAAAACAAATTCCAACATTAAGGGCATGGATGGATTCCAATAGAGATGTCTCTCAAATGGAGCAGACAATTCCCTTTTCCCATCTTATTTTTATAGCTCAAATACCATGAAGTCTCCACAACTATTGCCACCCTGTGAAGTGCATTTAAAGAGGGCTAACACAGAGAGACATGTCTATTTCTACCTGCAACAAAAAATTCTTCACTAAGGATATTCGCTCCCCTGCCTGTTCATCTAGCTAGCTCTCACCTGGCTTTCAAGAGTCAAGGGAGCCTCCCCCAAACTCTACTTTCAGCTGCACCTCCCCTGAGTTCTCACCTCTCCTGGGCCTCCATATCTGAGTAAATCCAGCTGTCACATATTTCTGGGGTAATGTAGCTGTCTCCCTTGACACATTCTGGGGTCTAGGAAGGCAAAGACCTGGTGTTTGTTGGTCACAGCCATATCCTCAGCCCTCTTCCTGGCGCCTCCCC